GCAGTTAAGAATTCCAAAATCAGTGACTTCAGCATGGATTGGAGGACCAGCACTCGTGTTACCACTATTGAAACACAGAACCAAAAATTCAGCACTAACTTCACTCCTCTCCAGAAAAACAAAACCAATCCTTGCTTTCTTTTTAAAAAATGTTTTTAACAAGAGGCTCTAGCTACCTCTCAGGTAACAAAAGGATATGCAGATTAGCACATACATAGGTTTTTCTCTTGCTTATAACCAAACAAGGGATAACTGCCACCAGCTTCCTCACTGCTATTTGTTCCTCGCAGTGACAACGCACTGCCCCTGATAAGTATTCAGCCACAGCATGTCTGCTCTGAAAAACAAAGCTGCTCTCCCACCTCCACTGTAACTGATTTCAGGAGGTTTACACCTCCGTCTAAACATCTGTGGATACAATTCCACCCCCACATGCTCACACTCCATGTTTGCAAATGCAACAACTTGGGCTGAAGCACAACACGGTCCTGCAGTGATTTCAAGTCCCTAGACTTTATGCCCGATATACACTGTGGAATTTCCACCCTGCACACAAAATTATTCATGACAGAAACACGGAAGGACCACCTTCCCCCTCCCTCTGTGTGAATACCAATGAGAAAAATAGCAAGAGGGTTTCTTTCCTTCCCTGATCACAGAGAGAGAAAAGGAAATTTTAAAACAACATATATACGGAAGGGAGGGGAGAGTCACTGCAAAATGCTGAAGACCAGGGGTGTGAGCACTACTTATATTAACATCTTCCATCCCTGGAGCTGCAGTAATTTGCATGACATTATCTACCTGGGATGTTGCTATGGTTATCACCATACATAAGTAATTACCAGGGCAAATTGCACATACGGCGCACAGATTCCTGCTGTCAGAAGCAAAGGATTTTTTTATACTCTTGAAAATGTAAATGTTTGGGAAAAAAACAACACTAACAACAATTCCTGATAAGAGGAAAAAGTTTAAGGCTTCTCCCACATGGTCTAAAATGATCGTTAACCATGCTTATTGGTAACAGTACCTTGAGGCACAGCTCAGACTGTTCCTAAGTGAGATGGACACTGCACAGACTCAGTAGAAAAATCAACAGAGCTCATAAAAATAGTAGAAATGGTAACCAGAAGCAGCAATAGTAACAGCACTAGTAACCAGAAATTAATCAGTAGAAATACTAGAAAATCGTTGCCTGAAGAGTTTACAGTGCAATTAGATGAGACCAGTAGAGGACAATAGAAGTAGGATATCCCACAGAACAAACGAGGTTGCCAGCATCGTGGCATTGCCATGATCAATTTGGGTAGATGTCACTTAATTCCAGATCATACAAAATAAACCAGGTATCAGCTCATTCTGAAATAATGCTGCAATTACATTGCCAGTAAAATACAGCACTGCTGCATGCAGTCTCTTGGTGTCAATGGAAAATTTTCAGCAGCATCGATGAGTGTGTTCTGTGGCCTTTGGAAAGTAAAAAGTTTTAACAAACAGTTCTGCTGCTGTGATCTGAGTTCATGCAAAGCACATTAGGCTAACTGGGATGTAAAGCACGGATCTGTAAAACACAAAATAAGTTTCTCTAATTTAATCTGAGGTGACACACATCGTTGAGTCGTATCTATCCAAACCAATCACATGTTCTGTGTACAGAGGAATACCATAATTTGGTTACTATGAATTCACAGGGAGCAGTGGAGTTGAGGGAAAAAAAATAAATAAATAAATGTATTTTCATTTTCTAGCTTCTCAGAAAAACATGTTCTTCTTTTGCTTGCCTTAGAAAAAGCATGTTTCTCCCAGACATTTACCTTCATCTCCTATTAATATTAGCAGAATTGTCATCAAAAAATTACCATGCTCTCCAACTGAGCTACAGATTAAACTTTTCAGAGCTGAAATAATCTCTGCTCCTGGATCTAGCCTCTCACAGCTCTCAGTGGGAAACTGGGCATCCTACCACTCCAGCCCTGTCAGTGGCAGTACTTCCCCACACTCACCCACAGAAAGTTAAGCTTATTTGTGTTCCAGATTCCAGCCCCAGCATGCCATCATTCCCTAATAACAAAGTGCCACCATGAATGCCTGGACTGCTGGGTTAAATCCACTGTCTCATTTCTTCAGGCTGCCTCACGGGACGGTCAAACACAGCCACACAGGATGCTGAGATGTGTTTGATCAGACGATAAGAAAACCACTAACCGTTTCAGAACTTCAACCTATTTACTTTGGGATCTCCAAGTAAATGGGGCCAAGTGCCATCAGGCACCACGTACGAACAGGAAATAAACTGATTTTGCAAGGGCAGAAGTAAAAGGTATCAGCTCTGGCAATCAGCCAGGATGAGAGTGTCTTTGCATGACTGTTAGCAGAGCTACACAGGCCACAAAAAATTAGATCAGGTAGAAGATTTGAAGCAATTTTGGAGACTGGCTCTTTAACTGAAGATGTATTTGCACTCTATGAGCTATTAGGTACTCCATCACTCTTACTTCTATCAGTCTTTAGGCTTGAGTTGGATTCTAGTTTTAGTGCAGACTTTAAATGTCAGTAAGAATATACAGTGCTCTTTTCTTTGAAAGCTACATTCTGATGCCATCAAGTATAACGACTGTTTTACTAGTCAAGAATCAAAAATGATATGGAGAGATGATGTGCTTTGAGAAGAGGATTGCTACTGAAAGCATAGGAACAGGTATTAGCCAGCAGGCAGACAGAAAACATGGCATGCCCTTGGGCTCATCACATGGCCTGAGGAAAGGCACTACTAGCAATGCCCAGAAATACTGACCAAAGATGTCAGCATGCCCTTATCAGGGCAAATGCAGACTGAAGATAGGATATAGAACAAGTCATCTTTGTCTTATCTGAGTAAACGGACCCATAGGACATGCACGCTGTGGCTCTGAGTACAATTCAACAGTTTGTTGAAAGTGAATATATCAGTGAAAGTAAATATGTGAAGAGTGAAATGTAAGATGGAAAAAGTGAGATAAATATTGTTAGATTCAGGGGAAAAGTGTTATAAACAGCAAGCTAAGCTCTTTGATTTGCACTGCTTTCCAGCCCATAAAACCCTAATATCTGCCAGTGTTTCATTAAAAGATTATAAACTACCCAGCATGCCTGCTGCTGCATAAATAAATTGCTAAAAACACATTTTCAGTGTTGCAGACCTTGTATTCAAAGAAACCCAATGTGCATAAAACTCAGCCACGTGACTGAAAGTAGTGTGGATCACAAAAATAACCCCTTAAACGCTAACCATAATTAATGTTGATCATTCAGCAGTGGTCAGTTTCTCTGAGCAGACATGCTCATAGTGACACTTTTAACACAAAAAAATGCCAGTATCCCAGGGAGAATTACTCAAAGAAAAGTGTTACAACTTAAGACTGCAAAAGAAAGCTTCTACAATGTTGTGAATCGTGTAAAATTGACAGAAGGAACAACTTTTCAAAGAGGACTGAGAGTTTCAGGTGTTTGATGATGTCATGAGAGCCCTACAGCAAAATCAAAGTTAAACTGAGCAGTACAAACACCTGGGAACAGCAAGGCTGAGAGGATCTGTATAATCAATGAATATTAAGAGGCTATAATTACAAAATAAACAAGAGAGTTTGTCAAAGCAGATAACAATAACAAAAAGAAAATAGACAGAAAGCTTACCCCTATCCTGGACTCACTCACAAAACTCCAACAGTGCAGATCTCCAGAAGAGCTCCTTCCCTACTGGTAGCCAGCTCTTAAATAGGTCTAGGAGCACATTGCCTTCACCTGTGCTCCTCTGGCTGACTCATGGCTCACCTCAGATGGTCAATCAGAGGTTCAGGCTGTGACAGCAGCAAGACGCACCTGCTACCCTTGCAGGTGGCTTACCTCTTGACTAGCACCATGCGGATCAAGAAGGTAAAAATTCAGTACCTCAAGGACAGAATTACTGCAAGATTGGAAAGGGGAGCCACATCTGAATCATTGTACAAGTCTGAAATGCCAGAAGATGTTAATGACGACTATTTGTTTTTCTTGCACCAAGCAAATACCTGTTAAACAATACACATGTTGCATCTCGCTGGCTCTATAAACCCAAACAGTTTCAGTTACTCCAGCGCAAAGCCTCTGCTTGTACAATCTTGAGCCACTCAACTGTAATTTAAGGAAAAAGCTATTTATTTTTTTATTTTTATTTTTTTAATGCTGAATGATGAGCAGTTTTCAGGATCCCAACTTTGTTTCTGTTACAGGGGTGGTGGCACTGGTGTGATTAGTGTCTCCTAGGACAGTGCTGGCAACCTTGTTTCTTCTACTACATATTGTTGGGGTATTAATTAGGTGTTACACGAAGTTACAAGCTATGCTTGTTTACTTACTTTACTGTTGCTTGTCTCAAAAAGCAAATTATCCTATTTTTGTCCTTTCCAAACCACGGTAGGGATGACAGCAGGACTCACAAGCCTAACACATGGGATGGCCAAACTGTAGAGACTGAGAAACAGAAAGGAGAGGGGCTTTAACATTTAAGCGAGCTGCTGCTTTGTGCCGGCTCGTTCGTGTATCAAGAGAGCAAGCTGAGAACGCGCTGTGACTTCTCCAATTTGCTTCCCCGAGTTCTCTCGGCGAACTTTAAAGCAGGAAAAAAGACAAGGCAACCACCGGCCGCTTCCCAAGCGTAAAAGCAAACTTCGATGAGCCCGCTGCAGCTGTCAGGCAGGCACAGGTGGGCAAGGAGCAGGGGACAGACCCCCGAGCTTAGCAGGAGCAGCCCCGCGGCCTCGGTCCCGGAGGAAGGACGGCGGACCGCCCCGAGCCCCGCAGCTCCGCCCGAACCGCCCTGCAGACGTGGCGCCGCCGGGCCGGGCCGCGCTGGCGGGCGGCCGCTGCCCAATCGCGAGCGGCGGAGCGGCGGGGGAGGAGCGGGGCCGGGCGCGATGAGCGGCGGCGGGCCGCGGCGCGGTGCTGGCGGCGGGATGGAGGGCGTCCGGCGCCCGCGGGGAATGGGCGGCGGGGGACGGCGGTGCCCGGCGGCTCTGCTGCTGGCGCTGCCGCTGCTGGCGCTGCCGGGCGGGCTGGGCAAGCCGACGGCGTGGCAGGAGCGGGCGCGGCCCGGAGCGGCGCAGCAGCACGAGGACGCGCCGGGATTCCGGTACGACCACGAGGCCTTCCTGGGCAAGGAGGAGGCGCGGAGCTTCGACCAGCTCAGCCCGGAGGAGAGTCAGGAGCGGCTGGGGTGAGCGGCGGCCCGGGAGGCGGAAGCGGGGCGGGGGGGAGGGGGCGGCGCGCGGGGGGCTGCGGGGCTGCTGCGTAAAGAAGTGCGGAACGGCTGCCTCGCTTCTGTATCCCTTCTCTCCCTTCGCTCTGCCGTTCCCGTGAATCAAGCTGAAGCCGTTTCTTCTCTTGCCTTCATCACAATTCTTCTATTTCCCAGGCCGCCGTTAAACCAACTCCCTGCAACTTCTCTGCGCGGGACAATTTGCTCCGTCTTGTTCTTACTTCCATGCATCAGTTGCCTTAATTTACTGCTTCTCTGTCCTTTACGTCTGCGAGAAGGCACGTTGCTAATTAGAACAAAGTTTCACAGTAGTTACAAAAAGATCTTTGCAATCAGTAATCAGAGAATAGTCAAAAAAATAGTCAAGTTCTGTACTATGAGTGTGGTGAGGTGCTGGAGCAGCTGCCTAGAGAGGCTGTGGATGCCCCATCCATCCCTGGAGGTGTTCAAGGCCAGGTTGATCCCTGGGCAGCCTGGGCTGGTAGGAGATGTGGAGGTTGATGGCCCTGCATGTGGCAGGGGGTTGGAGATCCATGATCCCTGAGGTCCCTTCCAGCCCTGGCCATCCTATGATTCTGTGAAAATGTCTGTACGTTCTCACTAAGAGGAGTTGTGCCCTTCCACAGGGAGCGGTACTGAAGCATGGTTTGTCTGTCTGATGCCACCATAATGGTGCTGTTGGCTCAGCGTAACCTCCTGCTCCTTGTGCAAGCTGTCAGCTATTGACCTGCATCTCAATAAGCAAAGCCATGAAGCACAAATGACCAGTTTAATCCAGATTGTTTGAAAAGCGAGCAAAAGAAACCATCTCAGCATACACGTTTGTGACTTACATAGAGCATGTCACTAAACAAGGGCATGGGTTACTTAAATTAGGCCTTCATTTTTCCAGCTGGGGGTGTGAACCATGTGCAAGTGGTGAATGTTCACAGGACTCACCCCAGCCTAGCATCGATCTGCTGGAAAGCCGCAGAAGGAACTGCAGGGGTCCGCAAAACCCAACACTTTTGTCCTTGTGGCCTCTGCTAAGATATGTGCTTGTATTGTAGTTGTTTTCCTAGTCTAAGTCCATCGTAGCCTCTGCTTGCAGCCTGTGAGCAGATTCCCCCCCAAGTCAGTAGACACAATCTACAAGCCATCCGAGATAGTTTGTTCAGTAACTTTGAGAGCGCAGGTTCCATTTTGATTATTCATAGCAATATTGAATAATGAATAGAGAAACTGTAAGATAATCTTCAAAACGCAAGAAAGCCTCCGTCAGTGGGACAGCTTTCTGCATTTTGGGCATTACATTTTAGAGGAAAATCAGGACCAGGTAACAATAATGAAGTTGGACTGACACCTGGTTTGTTTTTCTGCCCACCCTTAACAGATACCGCTCTCTTTTTACAGGAAGATTGTGGATAGAATAGATGAAAACAAAGATGGCTATCTCACAACAGAGGAGCTGAAAAACTGGATTAAACGGGTACAGAAACGCTACATCTATGAAAACGTCGCTAAGGTTTGGAAAGACTATGATACAAACAAGGACAATAAAATCACCTGGGAAGAGTACAAACAAGCCACCTACGGTTATTATCTAGGTGAGACACCATCAGATTATATGCTCAATGATAGCTGAGGTTATGAGGCACCTTGTAGCCAAGCTGACTTTGGTATCACAGTCAGGGCTTTGGGAAATTGCCTAAAGATGCTCAGAGGTTGAAAGCTTCTTGTGTCTTTATTGTGACCATTTCCATGTGGGTCACCACTACAGAGAATGTTTTGTAGAGGGCTTTATTGAGTGTACTGACAAAGCTGAATTAAAGTCTCCTGACTCCAGTTAGAAATGTGTTATTTTTTAACATTAAAAATGGTGCTTACATTCAAAAACACAATTAAGGAATGTTTGTTAATTGAATCTCACTTAAATTTGTGTGAGTGTAAATGGTAAAAACTTTGGCTGGGTATAAGCTGTAAATATACATATAGCTTATCTTTGCTATAACAGTGCTGAGAGATCAACAAATGGATATTAATTGGCCATGGGTGCATTTATACTGGAAATGAGAAGACAGTGTCTTAATGCCATATATGCAGTTTCTGGAGCAATAGCAAGCAATCATAAATAGAAGGTTTGATTGCTTTTTCAAACCAAGGAGTTGTGTACATCGTACTGATTCCTAAAACGAATAAAACTTCTGTAAATGAAATCTACTCTGAAGACTTGCTGAGCAAAACTTATGAAAGCAGATTAAAAAAATTCATTTACCAAGTATACTATGTGATGCTGCAAAAGCAGGCTGGATGTGGCTCTGGGCAGCCTGATCTAGTGGCTGGTAACCCTGCCCATGGCAGGGGGGGTGCAACTAGGTGATCATCATGGTCCTTTTCAACGCAGGCTATTCTGTGATTCTATGAAAAGCCTGGATTCCAAGAGGAGACTTAGTTGGCCATTAACCTATACTATTAAGTCACCTATAAAATCGAAGAGTTTGACTCTACAGTTCCCTAGGAAAGAGAAATTCCAGTTTAACACAGCAGCTATTCTAGCAATAAGCCTTTGTATTTCTAGACTCAGTGTATATATCAGTATATTAGGAGAATTTGTTGTTCCTTGTGAAATGCACTATCACGTAATTTTGTGATTGTCTTGATTAATTGGCAGAAAAACCAGAAGAATTCCAAGATGCAACAGATAGGCACAGTTTTAAAAAAATGCTGCCCAGAGACGAAAGGCGATTCAAAACTGCAGATCTGGATGGAGACTCAGCTGCCACTCGTGAAGAATTCACTGCTTTCCTTCACCCAGAGGAATTTGAGCACATGAAAAACATCGTTGTCTTAGTAAGCAGTGCAAAACCAATGACGCTATTTTTACTTCGCTTAATGGCCAACTGGGGAACTGAAAGGGATAAATTCTTGAAATTTACTTGATTTAGAGCTTTCAGTACAAGGAAGACCGAACAAGAGCACTTAGACAGCTCTTAAATTGAAGCCATTTTGGTATGGATGTGTACCAAAATAAAGGAAAAAGTATGCTGATGTGAGGCTGTCAAAAACAAAGTGTTCAATACTGACTTGTAATTGCACTTAGCTTAAAACATCAGCGTGATGTCCAGGTCAGGGCTGGAGTGCAGAATGACTCGAGGAGGGGAATAGCCAGAATTCTGTTTTCTCTTGATTACTTCAGTGCAAAACTATTTTCCAGGAAACGTTAGAAGACATAGACAAAAATGAGGATGGCTTTGTGGATCAGGATGAGTACATTGGTAAGCCTTGAAGTTTGTTTCTTACAAAGTGTCCATTTGTCCGTCTTCTCTCAAAGCTGCAACAAAGAGGAATGTTTCTGTGCTCCCAAGTTGCCTGTTTTTACTAAGTAGTCTAGATTATTCAGGAGGTAAACCCACCTAGTTCTAAAAGGATTTTTTGCAGCAATGTCTTTGTTTCTCCTAGAAATACAAGACATTGCATTAAGAATGAACCTTAGAGAAGTGAGATTCAGGGTTCTCAAAAAACTGTGATGTGAAAAACAACTCTAAGTGACAGAGAACAGAATTGGAAACATTAACAGCAGATCAGTCACCGTTAATTTACACAAACTTGAGTCACTCTGTGCAGTTAGCTGCTGTCTTGTGCTTAGACATGAAAACAGAATGGACTAGAGATCAGCTATACATAACACCTTTTACCCTTTTGAATAATTCTGCTGATTCCAAAAGCTAACCTCTCCCTTTTCACTCACTTTGATGGGTTTTAAATCAAGGAAGTAGTACCAGGAAAGCTATAAAGATCACTTCTCATGTAATCAGGAACAGTATACACATGTTAATTAATGGCAGGGGGTTTCTTTGCCTTGTAAATTATATTTAGCCTCAGAATGTGAGTGCTATTCATTTATGACTGAAATAACAGGGCAGCATAATTTCCACAGTAATTTCAGTTCATTCAGTGACATTACCTACATATAATTATAAGGTAATTGTCAACATTTGTTACCATTGCAAATGCTGTTTTTTTCTGTCTCTGGGATAGAAAGCATAGAATGTTCTAGTCACAATCACCCCACATTGGCAAGGATGATAAAAATCAAATTGACAGGACGTCAGGCGCATCGAATAAACAATATAATTTGCTCTTTAAAAATGTGAAAGTGAATGTGTTGTCTGAAGTTTTCTTTATGAGTTGAGGAAAATTGTTTAAAATATTCCTACATCCCTTTTTCAGATACAATTGCGTTTTGGTTTTGATCAAGCTGGGGTTAAAAAACAGCCAAATCACTTCTTTGATTAGGAACAATAAAAAAAAGCCCACAGAATGCAGTCTCTGGATCAGGTATTTGATGGGGAAACCTGCTGAAGGTTGCAGAGCAATTCCTCCCTCTTCCCTCCTTCCTTCTTGCCTCTTGTTTTGACTTTTACAAAATTAGTTTTAGATTTTATAAAAGCAGCAAAGCAGAATATCTCTAGTCACGTAAAGCACAGAGGACTGAATTGTCACCCTGCATGAACAGGTACTGAGCCTTTCAGGGATATTTTGAACAGTTCTACCAATAGAGAGGCCTCAGCCTAGTGTATATGCTTCCACTGTAGGGTAAGGGGAGACTATTCTTACATTTCAGGTCAGCATTTACATATACAAATGCCAGTGAGCCTGACCTTAAGACCAACCCTGTGGGATGCACTTTTCCATACCGTACCCCTGAAAACCAAATGCCACAAGTCACAGTAGTACTATCGACAGAGCAAGCTTCAATAGAAAAATCAAAGGCATGAGAAATAAGCACCCCAAATGAGCAGGCACCAATTGATTGGCCACAGAGACCAGAAGGATAAAGCAAACACACTTGTGCTTCCTGAAGGATTTTTGCAACTATTGTGATTTGGAAGGCCTGTGCTGTAAAAGAACAGATGTAAATCAATACTAGCTCTTACTAGTCACTGGTACTCTCCAAACCCTATTTCTATAGATAGCAGCTGCCACTGTGGCATTTTCCTACCACGACCCATAGCAACAACATGTAATGGAATATTGGTGGGAAGCTTCAACCTCTACTGCCGTACCACCAGCATCTGTCTCTGACATCATGGGCCAACATCATAAAACAGGAGGCATTAGTTTCAGAGCAGCCCTTGTAAAATATATAATAAACATTCTAATTTTTAATATGTTCCTTAAAGTGTTAAAAAAGAAGAACAAAGAGAAAAGACGAGTGAGATATTTTACCTTGTTTTTTGAGTTGGACATGCCTGCCTTAACCACTCTGCTGGCTGGAGTCTGATTTTATCCATGAAGATGTTTGCTGGCAGGGACAAGATAAAATTGCTAAGTCCCTTTCTACGTGACTAAGCCCAGTCTGGAGTCTCTGATTGCTATTTAGTAATAGTTTTCCTGAGGAACACTGCAAACATCACTAGTTGGTATATAATTTTCAAGTTAAGTATGACTTGAGTGAGACTTTGATTCCCTTTCCAGCTGATATGTTTGCAAATGAAGAGGGAGGACCAGAGCCTGACTGGGTGACCACAGAGCGTGAGCAGTTTGCAGATTTCCGTGACCTCAACAAGGATGGAAAGATGGACAAAGAGGAGATTCAGCACTGGATTCTCCCACAGGACTACGATCATGCACTTGCTGAAGCCAGGCATTTGGTCTATGAATCTGATGTCGATAAGGTACGCAGAGTTCCAATGTATTTTAGGGAAAACTAATGTTAAGGGTTGGGATTTTCTTGTTTGGTTGTTGTTGGGTTGGTTCTTTTTAAACATAGAGTCAGACAGCAAGAGGTGATTCCTGGTAACTGTCATTATTAGTGCTCTGTGCTTAAAGTTTTAGAGGCTAGATACTATCTAGGAGGTGTTTCTGTAATCATACACACATTCACTTCATTTAACATGAGAGACTAGTGGTTCTGTGGATCCCAGATGGTGATCATCTGAGGTGTAATGCCAGCAAAGTTGGATCCTGAAAAACCCAAACGCTTACACAGAGCAGCTTAAATTTCTAACAAGCAACTGTCTTGAACCAAATACACAGAGGATTTTTATTGTTAGGAAGGCAAAACCAAACCACGTGAAAAACTATGTACCAGGTAACTCAGACTGTTTGGTAGTGAGTTAATTACAAGTTAGTTTCAATTAGCAGTTGACCCAACTGAAGCCAGAGGGACTTCAGTGGGGTCGAAAAGCTCACTCACAGCTGCAATGACTCCTGAATCTTAAGACTGGTTTCTTTGAAGAACTTTCTGTGTCCCCGGGCTCTCGTAAGTCTGTGTGGTATCTTCTACTTAGCTTTGAAAATGTCCTTAAAGAGGTTTTCTTTTCTTCCCACCAGGATCAAAAACTAACAAAAGAGGAGGTTTTAGACAACTGGAATATGTTTGTTGGAAGTCAAGCTACTAATTATGGGGAAGACCTCACAAGAAACCATGATGAACTATGATATAAGTATACCAAGCAGCATGCCACAGGCCTTTTCTCCATTTTACTGAATCTACCATGTCCATCCCCTTTTTGGGGAGGATGGACAAGGGACACACACAAAACTGAATGACTTGCATATATTTTTAACATGGCAGTTTATTACCTCAGAAACTACGTAGAAATAGGGTTGTTTTTTTTTTTTTTAACTTTCTTCACAAGGTTAAATGCTATATCTAATTATACAGTTCTGTTTTGGGGAAAAAATGGTAATGTTTCTTAGTAGGTTAGATCTGGGAAAGGCATTTACAACGTAACTCCAAGGATCTTCAATAATAACAGGTTTTCTTCAAATGCCCATTTTTATCATAGTAAAATGCAGCTACGATTAGTAAGAAAGAAACTTACTTTTTCAGTAGTCTAAGTTGTTTAGTCATCATTTCTAATAGCGTTTGAAATCATAGAATGCCTTAAGTTGGAAGGGACCTTGAAGATCATCTAGCTCTTAATTCCCTGTTGTGGGCTGATTGCCACCCACCAGATAAGGCTGCCCAAGGCCCTATCCAGCCTAGTCTTGAATGCCTCCAGGGATCAGGCACCCAGAACTTGTCTGTTCTTACAGTTTCACCCTCCTGTACAGAGGTCTGACAAGATCCACAACCTTTTTGTCCACGCTGCATTTTTCTCTCTAAGTTGGGCTGAAGGAGATACCAGCAGACCCATGGGTCATAGCTTTACAAGTGCATCGTGTGCAATTGGCCCTTCTCTCTAAGTCCCACTGCAGTGCAGAAGCAACACATGGCCCAACAGCCATGCTGGCATTCCTCAGCAAGGGTTGTGGAGTTCAGACTGACAGCTGTTCCTTCTGACAACAGAATAACGTACATTGTTTGTGTGCTGTTAGTTATGCTGTTTCCTGGAAGGAATTATGCCACATGGAGCATAATTTATCTCACACTTTTCGCGCTTTACCCAAGCCATGCTCTTGTTCACACTGTGAATGGCAGCAGCTCCATGATGGAGAAAGAATGAGACATATCACCCCTCTGGGCCTTCTGTTTTCTGTACTACAGACGGGGACAGATCATGTGGCTGAAGTTCTGGTTTGTATGTATGTACGTATAAGTAAGTGTTACTGAAGCAACTACATGGAGACAGCTTTCCTTCCAAAGAAAGGAATGAGCTTTCCACACAGGTGCTTTCTTTTTTTACTGTATAATGTGAGCAGTAACATGTATATTTTTATATACCTAACTCTGATAAGTTTGGTTGATTTTAAATATATTATGTTTAAAACAAGCACAGTAAAACCATAACTTTTTGATACCATGAAGGTGCAACAACACTAATACAGACAGACTAGCATAGAGAGATGATGTGATGCTTCTTATGCCAAGAGTTCAGCCTGCAGCACTGGCTGGTCATCTACAAACAGCAGCTGGATGTATGGCACCAACTTTTTCTTCTTTGCATCATTAAAAAAAGCTAGAAATAAGTCGAGTGTATATTTTTAGTATTGCTAGAACCTGTTCTGAATGCTAAGGTCACATAAGAACAGTGCTAAATACTTTCAGTTGAAGATAGCTCTGTATTACACACACTGGCAGGGATTACTTGCCTTTGCTAACTTTATTATTAAGCTTTTAGCATGCACCTACAACATTGCCAGCAAGGTCTCCTAAAAGTCCCTACCCCTTCTGCTAACATAGAGTAGGACAGATGTCATAAGACATAAATGGTTTTTGCTCTCCCAGTAATTCCATGTCAAAGTAATGCCTAAATGCAGTGTTACCTGAGAAGCAATAAAATTGTATCTTGGCACACATAAAAAAAATTATCCGTATGGTTTATTATTTGGGTTTGGAAAGGTTTGCTGTATTGAATAGTCCTAACAATCTTGATAACTGCTGTTTTCTAGCAGCCCTTTCGTACTAAAGTTTGAGATTTTTATATTTTAGTACAGAGATTTTATATTTTAGTCCAGAATTGCTGTGCTCTCTCTGCACTTGGATCATCTTCTGCTGTTTCAGGAAACAATACCTTAAGAGACCACAGTAAAAAAGCTTGTTTCCTGCTACTGAAACTGCAGCTCAGACTAGATAGGAAGCCAAGGGTTTTCACTGGAGCCCAAGGGAAGGTTGTTTGGTAACTCTTGTTGAAATCCAGTGGGAGCTGGGTGCTGAGACACTAAGCATCATTGCCTGCAGCTAAACATGACACTTCCAAATCCACTGCATTCTGCCCCAGCAAAAAAAAACTGCATCTGAGCTTTGACAAGCAATCACATTTTCTTCTACATTACTCAATGAATTTGGAATAAAATTAGCATCAAATGAGAGATTATATTCCTTTATTTGTTCTCAATTTCTATTAATGCTTGGAATACACTGGGTATTTTCCAGTATGAAATAATGCAAGAAGAGTGGTACTCAGAATATGCCCAGCTACGATTAAGGCAAACATGCCAGTTAAAATGAAATTCAAGCCAATCAAGTTATCAATCATTGTAAGTATAATGGAGTCACACTAAGAGCATTTTTATAAAACAGAATACAAAAACATATTTTAGAGAACATATCATTGATGTGATTTCATTCTAAAGGCAACCTCCTTCCGTAGCTCTTAGTGTTTCACTTACCAACCTTCAGCAATGCACAGTATATTTTGTGCACTAAATCTTCCTTTCAAGCTCAATGCACTGTGGAAGAGTAACTCCAAAAGAGACTAGAGCTTCTGGGTTTAAATTTAACACTATTTAAGGAAAGCAAACCTTTGCTAGGGGATATAACTGTTAACATTGTGATTTTTCAAGCCTAAGGTTTCTAATGGGGTTTGACTGTTCCAGAGATAAGATTTTTTTTTCCTAGGTAACATATTTCAAGTCATATTATGAGCAAATGTTACAAAATTTTAGTGTAATGTGAAATACTGTAATGTCAGATAGCATTATTTATCTGCTTAATATGACTAAACCCATTAATTGCTGGGAGCCATGCTTCATCCCAGCAACATGAAAATTCATTTTGTGCCTATCTTGTCAGTTATTGCCAATTTTCTTAATGAATAGTGACGTAGTGAAATTCTGTCGGGAAATGTGTTTATGTATTTCCAACTGCAGGTTCTGTGTGCTAACTTCCTGTTACACAGATCCTCCATTACCTACGTGTTTTCATTATGCCTATGCCACACCATATCAAAGGTGCATTTTTCCTCCTTATGTATCTGGAAAGCCATTATTATTGCACATGCAGTTTTAATTATTAGAATTTATAGAATGAACTAAGTGGCTAATGTGCATTGTCTTATATTTCCATTCAGTGATTCAATCGAGTTAAATCTGTCTCCCATTCCAATCGAGGTACTTTACATAACTCCCTGTGGAATGGAGAATGCAGCTCATCCTTATCCTATTACTTTTACACAAGTATCTTAAAATAGTCGCATAATGATTTACTGTCACAATACAGAAGTCAGTCTGGATCCCAGTGAACTTAACAGCAGAACCCCTTGACCCTGTGCAAAGGGACAAAGGCCTCGGCCACATAAAAGCAAGCACAGTTGCAATGGGGTGGATGATGGGACTTGAGGTTCCAAGAAATTTGATGACCATCAGCTCCCAATCCCCATCTTACCACTGAACAATAATGCTAGGATTTTAGGTTGATTCATTCTCACGTAAGGTATTCAGGGCATAAGCCTGTTTCAAGGAGGACAGTGTCTAATGGTCTGTTCAAATACATTTATCCCTTCTACTGAGTGATGATATCTCTCTTAGACAGCTGATTACCATTAGCATATGTGACCATTGGCACATGTAGCTTGTTTTGCAGGGTGGCAGAAGAGGCCACATGAAACATTTCAAAGCCAAAGATGTTGCAAAGCCTGGCATGGTCCATAGTCAAATACTTGGAACTAATAAGCTGTACCTGTCTCTAATTTAGGATGCTATGTTCCATTTAATATGCCCAGCAAGGAACACATAAACCAAAGTTACTAAGATTCAAAGAAATAAAATTAGGTTCACATTTAATTTACAGGTACTAACGAGGCCCTTCACATCCAAGTGCTGTGTAGATTCCAAACCTGATGATTTTCAAAGCAGAAGAGAAAGAAAAGGTACCACCTTTCCCATAGTGTGCAGGTATATAAGGGACTTAGATGCACGTGACACAGCAAAGGCAGCTTCCCAGCTGCATTCTATCTCTTCATAGGGTGAGATAAAATTTCTTTCCCAGACAGGAGCAATTCCTCACTATGTCTGCCACGAGAGTACAGCAATCATCAGGTATGTCTATTACTATTCCTGTTGACAACTGATGGATTTCTGTCTTCAGAACAAACGTTGGCTGTGCTTATGGCAGCAAAGTTCTGCAGCTCAGTTTCATCTACTGCACATTTATCATTTTCCTTGCCCAAACTAGCATTAGCACTTTCTATATAAGGCAGATGCTCAAGATTGGTGTCTACCAGTGTAAGAATTTATCGTAAAGCATCCAAATACCTGGGCAGCTAGCATTTGCAGTTTTATAATTTAAGAGTTGGCCTCACATTTGTAGTATGTGAAACCACGACATACCTGAACAGCTATATGGAGCAAGTTATGCCATGATACTAAGTCTCTATGGTAATTAAGGGTGACACATATGTTAGAAGTAACAGTGTTTCTTCATATCAACAAAAACTTAGTTATGCATCAAGACACTTCCACAATTCAGTGGGAAATAACTTTTTTTTTTAAACAGGAGTAGCCAGGCAGTCTTCAAAATGACAGTCCATAGGACCAAGGAAGGTACAAAAACTGGTGGAAAATGATACGTACAGCTTTTGGAAACATACCTTAAAACCCTCAGTGAGACTGAGGATTGATGTTACAAAAACATGAATTGATAACCTTATAGCACACGCCACATTCTCAAAATCCAGTACAGGAGTGCCCAAGGTAAGCCATCCTCAAAGATGCTGCATTGATAACCAATGTATGGCCAAGGTTTAGGTAAAACAGAGTGTTACTCAACAGCCCACTCCAGTGTGCATTGCTTTCTCCCTGCTAAGGCCACAGATGGATTCTGAGGAAGCTTGACATCAGCTCTGAAGTTGGATATGGCAAAGTATAGTTTAGTAGAAGAAACCAGAGGTAGTAGCATTCTACTCATCTGTATTCATAAACAAAAAGATTACCATTAGGATTACAGAACACTTACGGAGAAATCTGAAAAGATATAATAAACAAAGCTGGTAAAACCAAGAACGCTGAGAAAGAACATGTTGAAATACTGCCTTTAAAATCTACTTTCTTCAAGTGGAAACAAAACATTTTAAAAGACAATAATGCTCTAAAAGCTATTTAATTCACTAGCCAAATTGAACTGACCAAAATCTAATTTCTTCCTTGTCTTGTTTAGCAGATGCTTGAAAGATCAATACAGTTGTCTCTGTAGATCGGCATGAAATATTAACAGGTCTGAACATTCTGAAGCTTTTTACAACATATTCAGCCTCATTAAACATTAAGCAGGCTTGAAATATAAACATAAAGTAACTATCAGCTTCCTATCCTCCATAGGCAGAACAAAGGTAGTTCAAAAGTGGGAAGCAGGAAGAAAGCTATTACATGAATTGGGAATTCAGAGAGAAGTTAACGTAGGAAAGCTGTCAGTATAAATAGACTCAATCAGATAAATTTTACCATAAGGAAAGATAATATTCTTCTGTCTCACAGACCGCAATATGTGCTAAGGAGCAAAGAACTGTAGTATTTACAGCACAAGGAATTCATAAAAATACACCTCTGGCCACAAAAGTACCCATCTGAGGCCCAATCCTCATTTACACTTCACCCTTCATGTTTGCTATTAGACCTCCGACTCCATGGGTTCAGCGAGAAAGAACCTTGTTCACTTTGCCCTGCTTTTCATGACTGGCTGGGCAATACAAGAGAGAGGAGTTTCAGGTTCACTAAAGGGAGATGTCAGCTTTGCAAATCACTGGAAGTAACCGGACATAAACTGTCAAAATAAGTCAGCAAAACGGTGTGGTTATTGTCAGTACGTAACTCAAGTCTGCAAGCCAAACTGTGGCTAAAGATTACAGACAACACAGCGAGATGGCTGTGCCATGATGTGCAGATCAACTCGTTTACCTACAAATGCTGTTCTATTCTAATACCTTTTTCTCCCATTTGCCTGCTTGCCTTATCGTTACTGCAGACATCATTAAGAATAAAATTCAACCACACGCTGTGTTGCCTTTACCACTGCAGATACTGGTAGGGTTTATGGAGAAGCTTTTTAGGTAGCTTTCTCACTGTATTTCTTCTAGAATTGCCTAGACGTAAAGGCATCAGATCAGACATTACTAGGGTTAGAATTCTCTACAGCCTCCGCTCAGTTTGGGAAGATGGTAACAGCAAGAAGAGAAACTGTGTAGAATTAATTCCTTGTCAGACATGCTAGATTTTCCAAAAAAGTACACCAAGCTATTAAGCTAGCACTATTAAGCTCTCTCACACAACGATGACAGTAGGAATACCATGCAGCAGTCATCATTTCTTACGGTTTCTCCAAATTCAGTTACGCCCAGAGACAAATCAAGTATGTATTTTTAAAACTCTGCAACTTAAGTGAGATACCAGTGGGCTTAAATGAGTATCAAACATAGTTAAGAAATGATACTCAAACAGCATTGAGCTATTTATGCTACATTTTTTCTGAATAGAACTGAAAATAGACTTTAGACTTCTGCATTTCACTGCGTTGCACCATACTGCTGTACTTACTCTACCTATAAGCATTCTGTTAATAGGTATTGACTAGAGCAGCAACAAATCAAGTGTTC